TCACAGTCTCTTCTGTCCATCTTTTTTCCTTACTGATCGCTAAAAATACAATGATTATTTCTTAACTTGTGATAACAATGTCCATTATTTTAAATTAAAAAAAAGATTATGTGGTAAAATATATATAGCAGAAAATTTGTCATTCTAACCATTTTTATGTGCATAACTCAGTGACATTAATTACAATCTTGTGCAATCATCACCACTGTTTTCAAAATTTTTCATCACCCTTAACAAAAACTCTGTACCCATTAAGCAGTACCCCCATTCCTCTTGCCTACAGGGCCCTGGTAACCACTAATGAACTTTGGTCTCTATGCACTCGCCTATTCTAGATATATCATATATGTAGGATTATACGATATTTGTCCTTTTGTGTCTGACTTATTTCACTCAGTATGTTTTCAAGGTTCATCCATGTTGTAGCCTGTACCAGAAGTTTCTATTTACAGCTGAATAATATTCCATTGTAGGTATATACATTTTATTTATCCAAAGAATCTTTCTATATTAAGGAATAAGACCCTGTTATGTATGTCCCAATTTTCCTTTTGACTATTTTTATTGTGGTTTTTTCTCCCCCCATAGAGAAGTGTTATATTTTTATGTAGTCCAACTTATCAAGCTGGGCCATGACAGTGTTTCTCAAATCAGCTGGATGTCTTGGACAAATGCAAATTCCCAGACCCCATGCCAGGCCTACCCAATCAAATATCTGGGGGTGGAAATTGGGATTCTGGACTTTAAAAAGTTCCCCAGGGGATATTCTTCCTTTCTCCTTTCCTACCTCCATTCTTTCTTCTTTCCGTCTCCCTTCCTTCTACACATTCTTCCAGAGTTTTATTATATTCAGTGATCAACATTGAACAACTTGTTAGAATTACTAAACTCAAATACAGAAGTAGATGTGTAAATTATACAATTGGAAGCTACTGTCATCTTCTGAGAGTGCACTGTAATCAAAATGACTTATTCTTTATCATTTCTTTACTTCAGGGAGAAGTAAAAAGGAATTGTAATGGCTTCTTCTGTCTGATGCCCCCCTTTTTTTTTTTTTAAAACTTTTTATTATAACAAATTTCAAGCATATAAAAAAGTAGAGAGAATAATACAATAAACTTCCATGTACCCATCACTCAACATCAACAATTATCAGAATATGGCCAATCTTATTTCATCTATACCCTCTATTTCTCCCTCTTCCCCATTCCCCAGATTATTTTACAGCAAATCCCAGGGGATTCCTAAACTCATTCGTATTTGAGAGTCAGAACTTTATGGCTTCTGGGTTTCACATTGTGCTTAGAAAGTTCCTTCCAAGTCCAAGAAAATAATATTCACTTCTGTTTTTCTCTAGCTAGCACCTTTATGAGCTCATTTTTTGTGTGTTTTAATCTCAAGAGATTGAAGTCTATTACTATTTCAACAACAGAAACTGAAGACTCTGGGGTTCTGAGGAATAGGTCCTAAGGAATGGATAGTTGAAATGTTTTCTACAGGAGTTTTCAAGTATCTGTTCTTCAGGATTCCCAATAGGACTTAACACCAGAATTTTCTTATATGTTATTAATGGCTAGCAAGATTATTATCTACAGTGTTTTGCAATTCATGACATTTGATGATCATATTTGATATAGTCTTAATTTACTCCAATTACTTAAAGGAAAGTTTCAGGAGTATTTAGGCATGAGCAACAGACAATTAAAAATGCTAACACTTTGAACATGAGAAGAATTAAGTATTGTTGAGACAGAGACCCACAGTTGTAGATTATTAGTCTGAGTCACTGCTGGTTGACTGAAGATCAAGCTATAGTCCCTTAATCCCTTAACAGATGTTTTAGGTTGGGTTCTGTAGAGACGCAAAATCAGTGAAGCATATAAATATATAGAGAGTGAGAGACACAGAGGGATAGATTTATCTCAAGGAAATGGCTCATGCGGTTGTAGAGGCTGGCAAGTCCCAAGTCCGTGGGTAAGGTGTCAGGCTGGAGGCTTCTGGGACTCATGTAACTGCAGGGGCTGACAAACCCACGATCAACTGGCAGGTCAGATGGCAGGCTGCTGGCTCACAGGATGCGGGGGCTGACAAATCCCAAGATTGGCTGGCTCAAGTCCCAAGAACCAGAGGTCAGACCATGCCACGGATTAGCAGTGCCTCTTTACTACTGGAAAAAGAGTCATCAGCACCTTTAACACTAGTCAGACTTGAGAACCAATCAAGCCGAATGCAGGATCCAGGGCAAGCAAGCAAGGTTTGCCAGAATGTCCATAAATATATTGAATGCAGGCCATACCCCTGAGGAAACTCCCCTTACAACTGATTGGCTGATCTCATCAGATCACATCATGGAGGATGACTACATCATTACATAACTGCCAAACCACTGAGAATCACTGCCCAGCCAAGTTGACACAACCTTAACCATCACAATGGGTAACAGCACTAACCATCTACCACACTGGTTAGAAAAAGACTTATAAATACTTTGATCTTCTTTAAATAAAGGAGCTGCCTAATTACTTGAGTTTCCTCTAATTGTTCCTAGTCCTTATCTCAATTAAGGAATTATTCCTTGGTATAAAAGATTCTCTTCCACTTGTAGAAGAAAGAACAGGGAAACAAATCAAAACTTGTACAATATTTCAAAGATTTTTATAACTTTAAACAAAATTTGCCACTTAAATGATTTTTAAAAAATATCAAAGTAAAATTCAACATTTCAACCGCTATAGAGTACAATTCAGTGGTGGTTAGTATATTCACAAGATTTTGCAACTATCACCACTATCTAATTCCAGAACATTTCCATCACTCTCAAAAAAAAAGCCCCATTCCTATCAATTTCCCCCTCCTTGCATCCCCTATTTTAAATCTTTCTGTCTCTAGGGATTTGCCTAGCCAATTCTGGACATTTCATAAAATGGAATCATACGATATGTGGCCTTTTGTGTTTGGCTTCTTTCACTTATAATGTTTTCAAAATTCATCCATGCTGTATCATGTATCAGTATTTCATTTTTATGACTGAACTATTGTATGGATATACCACATTTTGTTTATCCATTCATCAGTCGATGGATATTTGGCTTGTTTCTACTTTTTGACTATTGTGAACAGTGCTGCTATGAACATTTGTATACAAGTTTTTGTGTGGACATACATTTTAATTCTCTTGGGTCTATACCTAGGAGTGGAATTTTGGGTCATATGTTAACTATACGAGGAACTGCCAAACTTTTTGAGGAACTGCCAAACTCTTCTACAGTGGCTACACCATTTTACATTCTCACCAGCCATGTATGACAGTTCCAATCTTTCCATTCTTACCAGCATTTGTTGTTGTTTGTTTTTTAGTTATAGCCAGTCTAATGGGTGTGAAGTAGTAGTCTCACTGTCATTTTGATTTGCATTTCCCTAGTGACTAATGATGTTGGGCCTCTTTTCATATGCTTATTGACCATTTCTAGATCCACTTTAGAGACATATCTATTCAAATCTTTTGCCCAATTTTTAATTGGGTTGTCTTTTTATTGCTTAGTTTTAAGAGTTCTTTATATATGCTAGATACTAGAACTTTTTCAGATACATGTTTGGCAAATATTTTCTCCTATTCTGTGGGTTGTCTTTTACTTTCGTGATAGTGTGCCACTTAAATATTTTTCTATATTTTATAACAAGAGTAAAAATTTTGCAATGTCATTACACATACACGTTTGGAAAACAAACCAGAAAAAACCTAAGTCTTACTTTAAAAGTCATAGAAAAGAATTGAGAAAAATTAAGCCCTGCACTTTAGTTAAAATAAGACCATAGATTGGGGGATGGGGGAGACAGCTGGGAGGAGTCTATCTTATCACACTTCTCCAAACCCATTTAGATAAGGATATAACCTTTCATTACTTAGAAATTAGAGTGATTGCAATTTGTATACAATACTAAAGGAGGGTATGATGTTGTTGTTGGTGCCCGCCAGTCATCAATTTTCGACTCACAGTGACACCATGTGACAGAGTAGAACTTCCCCATAGGGTTTTCTAAGCTGTAATTTTTCCAGGAGCAGATTGCCAGGTCTTTCTCCTGCAGATCTGATGGTTGGGTTCAAACAGCCAACTTTTTGGTTAGCAGCCAAGCACTTCACTGTTACACCACTAGGGCTCCTTAAGGAGGTTACAGGATACAGTATAATAAAAAGTACACTGGACTTCAAATTAGGCGACTTAATTCTAGTTTCACTCTTTACTTACACAGGTTATTTACATTTTTGTACCTTAGTTTTCTTATCTGTAAAACGAGGAAGATTAATTCAGCTTTAAATAGAACCTTATTATTTTACATTCTATTAATTTTAAATCCTAGGATACTTTCACAGTAAGTAGACTTAGTAAAAAATGGACAATACACAGTCATGGTAAAATTGGATATTAAGATTTGTTCTTCAAATATTCATTTAGGAACTGCACACAACCACGGAAATGATTCTAGTCAGTTGTCTAAGAATTGCATTTAAATGCCATTATTCATATGGACTGCCTTTCCTATCATATGATCTAGGCTGGCCAAACAGAGTGTCTCATCTTCCAGGATAGAGTGATATGTCTGGGGTGAGAACTTGACCCAAAGAGGGACAATCATAGTCCCTGGGGTAGAAAGAGGTTGTTGTTTGCTGTTAGGTGCCATCGAGTCAGTTCCGACTCATAGTGACCCTATAGACAGAGTAGAACTGCCCCATAAGATACGTTATTTTCTGATTGCCGGCTGTGAGGTCCAAGCAATCATGGGACTACCATGGACCTTCTCTGCAACTTCATGGGGAGATCCTACCAAGATTAAAGCTAACAAAAGAAATAAGAGCTGACAGAAAGATTAAGCCATGATGGCATATTTTAAATCCTATGCATGAAGCCAGACCGACCTCCATGGACTTCAGTTTTATGAGCCAAAGCATTCTTGGGGTCTAATCTGACTAAAAGAATGAAGCAATGATCTCTCATGTCAGGGCTCCTCAAGTGGAATAGGACTTTCCCCCCCGATCAGTGTTTTTGTCTGATCAATCCCCAGACCCCACCCTATACTGTGGGGAATCTCATCCTAATAGGCCTGGCTGGCATTGAGCTAACAGATGGAGGAAAGCTGGATGATGCCTGGCACAGCTAGAAGTGCCACTCTACCGTAGGACCCCTGATAGAAATTTCAGACCAGAGAACTTTGCTTGACTTCCATGTTTACTAATACCACAACTTAAAAAAAAAAAGCAATCAAGTAAAAAGTAACCAATCAACCAGGGCAGATAAGATAAAAAGTATTGTAAAGTGCTACAGTGGGCAGTTTCCACTGTAGTGAGAACACAGAATCCCTGCATTAGGCATAGTTGCCACTTTATAGGAGTTGTGTAATTTACATTAATGCTACATGTTTACATACTTTCCAACCTATTATTGTTTTTAGGTTGCCAAAGATGGTTCAGCCAACATGCCCTTAAAAATTAAGTATTACTGAATGTTCAAACTAGAAGAAGGCTCACTATGTGGATGTGACCAGGAGAGGCTAAGGAGTAGGTAGAGATATTAGGGGAGGTAGGTGAAGCTGATGCACAGTTACCTCCTATGAGTCTCTCGAACATTCATGAGGGATTGAATCTTCTTCTGTATGAAGAATAAGGGCCCTGTGGTAGTTAGTCAGTACAATTCCTAAGATGTGATCTTTGCCATCAAAGAGCTTCTGTATTCTACAATGAGTGCCAATAAGAGATGTGTGGTGACAATACTATGGAGATACGTTAACAGTAAAGAGGGAGCTTCAGGAAGTCTTCAAAGAGGAAGAGAAACATCAAGAGGCAGAAACAGGATCTATAGACTACATTTATTAAGCACTTACTGGGCACATCATATGCAAAACAAGCAGGAAGGGGGCAAGTAAGAACTTTAAGAAATATACACATCAATTTTAGCACTAATTTTAGCTACTGGAGAAGTACAAAAGTTGTACAAGTTATACTTGAAATAAAATTTTGATGTCTGTCACAAGGATAAGCTACAAATACAATGTAATAAAAAAAATTTTCAAAACTGTACTTAACATCATAGGATTACCCTAAAATGGGTTGGCAAAATGCCTATACAGCATCCATTCATATTACACACATATGTTTCACATTAAAGACTGCTTGAATAGGACAAATACTTTGACTCATTGCTGGGATATCCATGGTCAACAACTATATATACAGTTCCTCTCAGAAACATAATAGCATTTGCATTAAGTCCATTTCACCATTAATGCCCACCTTTTTTTCAGTCCAGCTTATTACTGAGTTCTCGTCAGAACTGTTCATATCTCTTTTGTCTGATCATCTTCTTCGAGTTTCCTGATTTCATTTTTTAAACAATTTATAGTTTCACGACTTGCTTTTAATCTCTCTTTAAGCTCTGCAATTTCAAAGCTTGTTTTTTTCTTGGCAGCTTCTAATTTTTCTCTGGTTTTCACTTCAAGTTCTGCAACTAAGGAAAGCAAATACTTTTACTAAATTATTTCACTTTTCTCACACCTCTAAGATATTTCAGAGAGTAATAAATATTTATCTAGGTAAACCTTCCCATGATGAAATGTGGACACCTTAAGATATGTATCATTAAACATACGGGTAAGAAAGTCTGAATTCCCATACAGATCTAAGATGTTTTCTACAACTAAGACTGAAATTCTGGCAACTAACTCACAGGTAAGATTTTAGGACAATGTCCTCGTCTTTCTCCATACAGATATTAATTTGAAAATAAGGGGGCAAACCAACTGAAGGGACATTCAGCTAATATAGAAAAAATAACTAAATATTCTTAAATTTATGTACAAGTGAAACTTATATAACCAAAATCATACTGTCAAAACAAACCCATATTTTTTCTCAAAAAAGAGCAATAACTGCCTAGGTTTAAATTCCAGCTATATCACTGATTAGCTGTGAGACCCTGACTAAGTTACTTAACCTCTCTATGCTCATTTCCTCATATGCAAAATTATGATAGCAAATACCTCATGATATTATTTGTTGAGATTTTAAATGAATCAGAGTACTTATAAAAAGCCATTATTAACTATTATTATGATGACAGAGGACTATTAAATGATATTTAAAGTATTCTAGCTGGCTACTATCCAATTACGCAAGAAAATGTCATTACTGCAACTAGGATATATGTATTTAAATATTCCACTAGGATAGTGAAGCATAATGCTTCACAAAGAAAAATGTCTACTTTTATCCTACACTTCCGTCTGGTGGACATTTTATTTTTTTTATTGTGCTTTAAGGGAAAGTTTACCGTTCAAGTTAGTTTCTCATACAAAACTTCACACACACACTATTATGTGACCCTAGCTGCACTCCCCATACTGTGACAGCACACTCCTTTCCACCCCGGATTTCCCATGTCCATTCACCCAGCTCCTGACCTTCTCTGCCTTCTCATCTCGCCTCTGGGCAGGAGCTGTCCATTTAGTCTCATGAATCTACTTGCGCTAAGAGGCACACTCTTCACGAGTATCATTTTATGTCTTATAGTCTCGTCTAATCTTTGTCTGAAAAGCTGGCTTTGGGAATGCTTTTAGTTTTGGGCTAACAGAGAGTCCAGGGGCCATGTCTTCTGGAGTTCCTCCAGGCCCAGTCAGACCATTAAGTCTGGTCGTTTTACTAGAATTTGAGTTCTGCATCCCACTTTTCTCCTGCTCCGTCAGGGACTCTCTGTTGTGTTCCCTGTCAGGGCGGTCACTGGTGGTAGCCGGGCACCATCCAGTTCTTCTGGTGTCAGGTTGATGGAGTCTCTGGTTTATGTCACCCTTTTTGTCTCTTGGGCTAATATTTTCCTTGTGTCTTTGGTGTTCTTCATTCTCCTTTGCTCCAGGTGAGTTGGGACTAATTGATATGTCTTAGATGGTCGCTCGCCAGCTTTTAAGACCCCAGACACCACTCAACAAAGTGGGATGCAGAACATTTTCTTAATAAACTTTGTTATGCCAACTGATCTAGATGATCCCAGAAACAACGGTCACCAGAACCCTGCCCCTGCTACTCTGTCCCTCGAAGTGTTTGGCTGTATTCAGGAAACTTCTTAGCTTTGGTTTAGTCCAGCTGTGCCGACTACCCCTGTAGTGTGTGTTGTCCTTCCCTTCACCTAAGATAATTCTTGCCTACTATCTAGTTAGTGAATAACCCTCACCCTCCCTTCCCAGCCTCGTAACCATCAAAGAACGTTTTCTTCTGTGTTTAATCCTTTTCTTGAGTTCTTATAATAGTGGTCTTATACAATACCTGTCTTTCTGAGACTGACTAATTACACTCAGCATAATGCCTTCCAGATTAATCCATGTTATGTTTCACGGATTCATCATTATTCTTTATCTTTGCGTAGTATTCCATTATGTGACTATTATATTCATTCATCCATTCATCTGTTGATGGGCACTTAGGTTGTTTCCATCTTTTTGCTATTGTGAACAGTGCTGCAATGAACATGGGTGTGCATATATCTATTCGTGTGACAGCTCTTATTTCTCTAGGATATATTCCAAGGAGTGGGATTGCTGGATCATATGGTACTCCTATTTCTAGCTTTTTAAGGAACTGCCAAATCGATTTCCAAAGTGGTTGTACCATTTTACATTTCCATCAACAGTGTATAAGTGTTCCAGTCTCTCCACAACCTCTCCAGCATTTATTATTTTGTGTTTTTTGGATTAATGCTAGCCTTGTTGGGGTGAGATGACGTCTCACTGTAGTTCTGATCTGCATTTCTCTAATGGCTAATAATCGTGAGCATTTTCTCACGTATCTGGTAGCTGCCTGAATGTCTTCTTTGGTGAAGTGCCTGTTCGTATCCTTTGCCCATTTTTTAATTGGGTTATTTGTCTTTTTGTTGTTGAGGTTTTGCAGTATCTTGTAGATTTTAGAGAGTAGACACTGATCGGATTTGTCGCAGTCAAAAATTTTCTCCTAGTCTGTAGGCTGTCTTTTTACTCTTTTGGTGAAGTCTTTTGATGAGTATAAGTCTTTGATTTTTAGGAGCTCCCAGTTATCTAATTTCTCTTCTGGTGTTTGTGCATTGTTACTTATGGTTTGTACTCTGTTTATGCCATGTATTAGGGCTCCTAGCATTGTCCCTATTTTTTCTTCCATGACCTTTATCGTTTTAGAATTTATACTTAGGTCTTTGACCCATTTTGAGTTAGTTTTTGTGCATGGTGTGAGGTATGGGTCTTGTTTCAGTTTTTTGCAGATGGATATCCAGCTCTGCCAACACCATTTGTTAAACAGACTGTCTTTTCCCCATTTAATGGACTTTGGGCCTTTGTCAAATACCAGCTGTTCATAGGTGGATAAATTTATACCTAGATTCTCAATTCTGCTCTACTGGTCTATGTATCTGTTGTTGTACCAGTACCAAGCTGTTCTGACTACCGTGGCAGCATAATAGGTTCTAAAATTAGGTGGTGTGAGGCCTCTGACTTTGTTCTTCTTCAGTAACGCTTGACTTATCCAGGGCCTCTTCCCTTTTCATATAAAGTTGGTGATTTGTTTCTCCATCTCCTTAAAAAATGCCATTGGAATTTGGATTGGAATTGCATTGTATCTGTGGATTGCTTTGGGAAGAAGTGACATTTTCACAATGTTGAGTCTTTATCTATGAGCAAGGTATGTTTTTCCACTTATATAGGTCTGTTTTGGTTTCTTGCAGTAGTGTATTGTAGTTTTCTTTGTATAGGTCTTCTACATCTCTTGTTAGATTTATTCCTAAGTATTTTATCTTCTTGGGGGCTATTGTTAATGCTATTGATTGGTGATTTCCTCTTTGAAGGTCTCCCTGTTGGTGTAGAGGAATCCAACTGATTTTTGTACATTTATCTTGTATCCTGATACTTTGCTGAAATTTTCTATTAGTTCCAGTAGTTTTCTTGTGGATTCTTTGGGCTTTTCTGTGTATAAGATAATATCGTTTGCAAATAGAGATACTTTTACTTCTTCCTTACCAATCTGGATGCCCTTTATTTCTTTTTCTAGCCTAAATGCTCTGGCTAGGACCTCCAGCAAAATGTTGAATAAGAGTGGTGATAAAGGGCATCCTTGGCCATCTTGTGGACATTCGGTTAACTGCTGCTGAGGACTATTAAAGCACAGTTGTAGATATTCATTTCTCTAATTTTTAAAAAAATAAGTTAAATTTTTTTAAAAAAACACTTAACCATCTTTACTTAAACTGAGATTTTTCACTTGGCTTTCAAGGCATTATATCCTGGTTTTTCTTGCCCCATATTCACTGTTCTTTCACAATCTCCTTTGCTGGTCACCTTGATCTCTAAATGATGGCATACTCAAGGCTCAGTCCTTGGACCTCTTTTCTATCTTCACTCATTCAATAATACAACTCAGTCCCACAACTTACAATTCCATCTATACACTATTAACTTCCAAATTTGTATCTTCAGTCTAGACCTCTCCTTGAATACCAGACTTTTAGATGCACCTCCCTTCTCAACATCTCCACTTACATGTCTTACAGGCATCCTACCTCTAACATGTCCAAAATTGCACTCCTAACCTTTCCCCATAAACCTGCTCCCCCAAGACTTCTCCACTGTATAAAATACAACGGCTTTATTTAGTTCCTCAGGTGCAAAACCTTAAGAGTCATCCTTTGCTCATCTCTCTCTCACATTCCATTACTGAAACCATCGGCAAATCCTATTGTACCTACCTTCAAAATAGACCCAGAATGTGACCCCTTCTCACCACCTCCATTACCACTCTGGTCCAAGCCATGATTCTATCATATCTGGATTGAAATGTTAGTCTGATAATGTCACACTCCTCTGCTTAAAACCCACCAGTGATTTCCTATCTCATTCAGTTTAATAATCTAAAGTCCTCACAGTTAACCACAAGCTGCTACATGACCTGGTGGTCCCCTATTAACTTCTCTGGCCTCATTTTCTACTCCTCATCCTGTTATTCACTCCACTCCAGTCACACTGGCCTCCTTGCTGTTCCTCAGATATGCCAGATAGTGAAGCCTCAGAGCTTTTGCCCTTGCTGCACTCTCTACATGGGACATTGTTTCCTCAGATAGCTACGTGGCTCACTCCCTTACTCCTTTAGGTCTTTGCGCAAATGATATAATCTCAGGAAGCATTCTCTGACAATATTTAAAATTCCAACCATATCCTTCCACCAAAGGCACCTCTCCTTTTTTTTTTTTTTTATTATTGTACTTTAGATGAAGGTTTACAGAACATACTAGCTTCTCATTAAACAGTTAGTATACACATTGTTTTGTGACATTGGTTACCAACCCAACGACATGCCAACACTCTCCTTTCTTAACCATGGGTTCCCTATTACCAACTTTCCTGTCCCCTCCTGCTTTCTCATCCTTGCCCATGGGCTGGTGGGCCCATTTAGTCTCATTTTGTTTCATGGGCCTGTCTAATAGTTGGCTGAAGGGTGAACCTCAGGAGTGACTTCATTACTGAGCTAAAAGGGTGTCTGGGGGCCATACTCTCAAGGTCCCGTCTTTATTTTTCTCCATAGCACCCAATCATATCTTATACTTTATCTATTTATTTACTAATTAGCTGCCTTTCTCTCACTAGCATGTAAGTTCCATGAGGATAGGGCTTCTTATCTGTTTTGGACACTGCTCCTATCCCCAGGACTTGGAACAACGTCTGCCATATAACTGGTGCTCAATATATACTGTAAATGAACAGAGAATTAAAAGAATGAATGAATGAATAGTGAGATAAGTATTAACATAGAGATAGCAAATAGCTTTCATCTCAAGTGCCAACTCCAAATGAGTGTCAGTAGCTGCATAAAGTGGTGTGTAGAAGATTCTGAGACTGTCAACTCAGAGGTAAGATGTACCATGACTGTAGATCAATGTGGCATTCGGGTATTACCACCACCACAGCATTAATCTGAAACTGTTGTTAAACGACATAGATAAAAATAAACTAGTTTACAGCATACAAAAGTATAATTATGTTCTGCAAGGTTCTTCACACAGATTTTGCTAGCAAAGACTAGTAAACAGAAAATGATTGAATGATAGGTTAAGCAAGACTAATGAAAGGCTATGCTTAAATGTAATTAGGGGATAAAACAGACAAACCAGTTTTTCAGAGAATGTGAGAGCCTGCCTTTCACCTTTTTGAAAGTAGGCCTACTTTGGGAACAATTTAAAACATCTTTCTTCCATATTCTACAGTGTTACATACTTTTGTTTTTTAACTTCTGTAAAATTTACCTATAATATTTAAAAAAATGTTTAATAGGCACTAATTATACATTCCTTTCACCCTTACAGAATACACTATTTTTCAGGATTAATTATGAATATATGGCACTTACATTCTGTTTCATGCTTATAGGCGCCTAATGTAAGCTGACGAGATGTTGTTAATAATTGTTGCATCATTGCTGTTGGGTCTTGAAATATCTAATGGGATAGAATGGAAAAGGGCTCAATAACGTCAAAGTTCTTCAACTTAAAATGCTTTTAAAACTCTCATTATAAAATCGCCTTACCATTTCATCATAAAACTCTGAAACCACTGTCTTTTTTCCCAGCATTGCATTGGTGTCTGATTGAAACAGCTTTAATAAATGATACAGGGTTACCTGTGAAACAAAAACACGTCACGTCTGTACAATAGTTTTCATCATCATCATGAGGCATCTCATGGTAAACATCAAATGCAGAATCATGTTTCAACTGCAACTCCCTGAGGCAAATCACCCAAACTCTTTTACTTTTTTTTTTTTCTATTAGAAACCACCATCCATCCACATCTACTTAACATGAATGTTTTGAAGATACAGGGTAAGTCAGAAACTGTTCAAGCTTCTTTAGAGAGTGATTCTATGTAAAAATTACACAAGATACAGCTATGGAAATTAAACTAGGAAATCACTAATGAATCGCATGAATTCCTTTACTTACACAAGTTATAATCAGATTAATTTTAACAGTTGTTCTTAAGATTAAAGTTTACAAATTTACTGTGGGGAAAAAAGATTTAAGACTTTCAAAAATCACAATGAGGGCAAGATAATCTCTTTGATGATCTATAAGATTATTACATAAGTGACATGTAATAAACAAATAAAAAGTTGGTCAGTGATAATTCCCTCTGGCAAAAGCAACATGTCTTCAAAATACTTAAAAACAGATGTAGGAAGACAAGAAAGGAAGAGCTTTGTAGCATAATAATGTGTGATTATTTTAGTAAAAAAAAAAAAAAGAAAAAAAAAGGACTTGGCAGACTATCAGCATTCAGAAGGAAGTTGTAGAAACCAATTTAGAAGTCTCAAAGAATTTTCCCAAAGAGTTAAAATCCCCCAATTACAACATATTTGAGTTATGACCAACTGCACTTACCACTGTCTGTTTTTTTGTACACTGTGTCATTCAGTAATATGTACTACATGCAATGTTACAGTGCATCATTCACTGATGTTACTATTCTCAGATGTTCCCTCACAGATGTTCGATGTTATGATGTACTGTTCAAAACACTGCAGTATAGCAGGCTATGGTCTGGTCTACAGCGAAGTCAGTGTCAGCAGCCATAACAGATAAAAAGTTGGGTAATGTTCAACTCTAAAGACATACGACAATTGAATTGCACATGTGCCCTACAGCCATTACTTGATAATGCCACTGGACATCCTCCTGATGTAAATGATCTAAGTCAAGATGTGAAAGTGGTGTATCTACCTCCCAACATGGCAGCTGTGATTCAGCCTATGGATCAAGATGCAATCTCCACCTTCAAGGCATACCACCTATGGACTATGGCTGCTCAGCCAATAGCTGCACCAGACGGACGTATGGTAACATTACACGATTTCTGGAAGAATTATAATATTCTTCAGTGTATCCAGAACACTGCATCTTCCTGGGAGGAAGTTATGAGAAAATGCATGCAAGAGATATGAAAAAGATTGCTGAGTTACGTGAACATGCTCCAAGCATTTGATCAGGATAATATGATGGAAGAGATTGGTGGAAAAATCATCCATATGGCAAGAATACTGAACTTAGAACTTGATGTTGCCAGTGTGGAACACCTCACAGAGCACAAAGAAGGGGAACTGACTGATCAGAACTTAATGGATTTTGAAGAGGAAAGAAATGTTGAAGAAGAAAGAAATAATGATGAAGAGGAAGAAGCTGTCAAAAAATTTTACAGTGAAAGGATTAGCTAACGTTTTTTCTCAATGAAATCAACGGCTTCAGTTGCTTGAAAACATGGACCCAGACACTGATGACTCTGCTAAAGTTGATATGCAGATTCAGGGAGCAGTGAGCTGTTACCACGAAATACATAAAGAAAAAACAACTCTCACTAATTTTCTGACTAGAAACGCCACTCCCATTCCCAGGGATAATCCAGATGATCCACAACCTTCCATGTGTGGAGTTATTACCGCGAATAGCAAAATGCCAATGTTGTCTACCTCTTCTTCATTGTTGGGGTAAATTTTTATGATTTTTGTATTGTTTTATGTATGCACATATGTATTAAAATATATCTGTAAGTTTATACGTAATGTTTCCAACCCCCAAGGATAAATAAAGATCAAATTTATAAAGATATTGATAATACAAGGCATCAATAATGAAAACTAGGAAAAAAAAGAGGTATTCGACTTACATCAGGACCGACTTAATGACAGAGTCATCAGAATGGAACCCCATCGTAAGTTGGGGACTACTTGTATAAGGAAAGGCTATTCTTCAAAAACACTCATGAAATAGGAAAAAAGGGTACCCTCCTAAAGAAGTCAGAAAATCTAAAAATTCTTTTAACTGAATGAGATATGAACAATTTGAACAGGCACCACTGATTCCCTGCAAACACAATCCCTGGGCATGGCTAAGCCAGAGGAAGGATCCTATATTAAGGACATCTTCCAGGTTCAAGATGCTACATTAAGAATATGGCAAAGGGAGAAAGGAATTCCACAGAAATAACAGTAAAAATAGACAATCTGAAAATGAAAGAATATGGTATGTATTCCATATTTAAAGGAGATAATTTGACAAATTTTTGGACCAGACAGCAGATGAAATTACAATGATGGCTAAACCATAACAGAGAAAACCGTAACCTGAAAACTGCATCAGAGATGGTAGCCAGCAATCCCAGTGGAGACCCAGAGAGGCTCCAAGCTCAGAGCTGGCAAGTTATCAACACCAAGAAGGCTGTGGGGCAGCTGGGCCTATTGACTATTCCTTCTTCTCCCACCACTCATATACAAGGCAGCATAGCCCCCTTTGCAACTGAGAATTTTACACCTAAACAATTCATCAAGTATGAGGGCAAAATAAAGACATTTTCAGACAGGCAATGATTCAGAAAGTTTATTTTTCAGGCATCTTGTCTGAAAAAAATTCTTCCAGCAAAATGAAAAATGAAATCAAGAAAGAAAAAGAAAAAGAGCCATCTGTTACCATTGGGAGTTGACAGACACTATCTTAAGTTGAGAAATTCAAAATTAGGGAATTAAATATATGAGGTATTGGAGTAATTTCCAGAGGAACTGAAAACAGTATCTTAAAAAAGTGGTTTTCTTGGGGACGGGCTGGAAATAACGGAAAGAGATGTTTTCATTTTTCATTGAAAAAAAAATTTTTTAAACCATGTGCATATCTAAGAAAAATTTTAAAATTGCAACATGCAACTGTCGTTCCCTAAAATTTACTTTTCAGACTTCCAGAGGCATTCATGCAGATGTAGGCAATGAAAGTCTTCAAGGCAGATGTCCCTAATTTTAAGTATTTCAAGGTCTTTGAAAAGCAATGAAAATGGCTTATACTTGCCACAGAGATATTTCTAGGAATGAAAACTCAATCTAGCATATTGCTTTTAGAAACAAGCATTCCATTTAAAATGATTTATGACATACTAGGTTACACAGGCCCACTGCACATCTGTCAGTTTAGTGTACTATGGTGGCTTGCATGTTGCTGTGACACTGGAAGCTTTGCCACCTGTATTTCAAATACCAGTAAGGTCACCCTTGGTGGACAAGTTTCAGTAGAGCTTCCAGACTAAGAGCAGGAAGAAGGACCTGGCAGTCTATTTCTAAAAAAAATCAGCCAGTAAAAACCTTATGAATAGCAGCAGAACACTGTCTGATACAGGGCCAGAAGACAAGCCCCTCAGGTCAGAAGGCACTCAAAATACGACTGGGGAAGAGCTGCCTCCTCAAAGTAGAGTCGACCTTAATGACGCGGATGGAGTCAAGCATTCGGGACCTCCATTTGCTGATGTGGCACAACTCAAAATGAGAAGAAACAGCTGCAAACATCCATTAATAATCAGAACGTGGAATGTATGTAGTATGAATCTAGGAACATTGGAAGTTGTCAAAAATGAAATGGAACGCAGAGATCAATATCCTAGGCATTAGCGAGCTGAATGGACTGGTACTGACCATTCTGAATCAGACAATCATATGGTCTACTAGGCCGGGAATGACAAATTGAAGAGGAACGGAGTCACATTCATTGTTAAAAAGGACATTTCAAGATCTATCCTGAACTACAATGCTGTCAGTGATAGGCTATCAATATGCTTACAAAGAAGACCACTTAATATAACTATTATTCAAATTTATGCACCAACCACTAATGCCAAAGATGAGGAAACTGAAGATTTTTACCAACTTTTGCAGTCTGAAATTGATCAAACACGCACTCAAGATGCATTGATAATTACTGGTGATTGGAATGCAAAAATTGCAAACAAAGAAGAAGGATCAGTAGTTGGAAAATAAGGCCTTGGTGACAGAAATGATGCCGGAGATCACATGATAGCATTTTGCAAAACCAATGATTTCTTCAATGCAAATACCTTTTTTAAACAACATAAACAGCTACTATACATGTGGACCTCACCGGATGGAAACAGGAATCAAAGTGACTACATCTGTGGAAAGAGACAATGGAAAAGCTCAATATCATCAGTCACAATAAGGTCAGGGGCTGACTGAGAAAAAGACCATCAATTAATTGCTCATATGCAAGTTCAAGTTGAAGCTGAAGAAATTACAAGTAGTCCACGAGAGCCAAAATATGACCTTGAGTATATTCCACCTGAATTTGGAAACCATCTCAAGAAGAGATTTGATGAAAGATGGAAACAACCTAGGTGCCCATCAACGGATGAATGGATAAACAAATTATGGTATATTCACACAATGGAATACTACGCAATAATAAAGAACAACAATGAATCCGTGAAACATAACATGGAGGAATCTGGAAGACATTACGCTTAGTGAATTTAGTCAGTCGCAAAAGGACAAATATTGTATAAGACCACTATTATAACAACTCAAGAAAAGGTTTAAACACAGAAGAAAACATTCTTTGATGGTTATGAGGGTGGGGGGGAGGGAAAGAGCTATTCACTAACTAGACAGTAGACAAGAAATCTCTTAGGTGAATGGAAGGATGACACACACTACAGGGGAAGTCAGCACAACTGGACTAAACCAAAGCTAAGAAGTTTCCTGAATACAACCAAACACCTTGAGGGACAGAGTAGCAGGGGCAAGAGCCTGGTGACTATGGTTTCAGGGGACATCTAGGTCAACTGGCATAACAA